ATAGTAAACAATATTGTAATTGCACCACTATATAAAATATCAAAGAATAATCCAGAATTACATACATAAGTGCCGCACGCTTCCGTAGCTGATTTGGCCAGAGCCAAAAAGTTCTCACTTCAGAAACATATTTTTCTAAAAAATACCTTTTATTTGATTCAGTCCCCTCCTGCCGAAGCAAAAGCCGCTGTAAAAACTGCCATCGAGACCGGGTATCGTCTGATCGACACCGCTGCTTGCTACGAAAATGAAGAGGCTGTTGGAGAAGCTTTGAAGGAGTTGATTCAAGCTGGAAAAATCAAACGCGATGAGATTTTCATTACCACCAAGGTAACTTTTTTATTGATCATTACTTCTATATGATGAGAATTTTCGAGTTTGAGCCAGGATATCATGAGCGGTCCGGTGTTCTCAGAAAACATATTCATGCAGTTCCCTATACCGCATGAACGTTTTCCGACCACCACACCCACACTACCTTATTACCAAAGCTTATCACGCTTGTTAAGTGATGACGATAATATTCCTCCTCTCGATATATAGCTCCATCCCGATGAAACCCTGTAGAAGAAAATGGGAGCCTCCAAACCGAATAATTTCAATTAAACGGTGTTGGTATTGAACTGGGAACGGTAAAGATACTGGGATGTTCATCAGTAGACATTGAAGCCGGGTGAGTTGGAAGAAAGAAAAACGAATCTCCATCCTGAACCAAGAGTAAAGACTCCAGAAGTGATCGAAAGATAGGGAACTAGTCAATAAATCGAAAAAGATATGAATGAAGGGGAATTACCAAGCTCCTGCGGAGGAGGGGCATCACAAATCAGGGGCTGAAGAGTTCAAATTCCAAAGAGTGGAGCTCCTGGCCTTACTCTGCCTTCTTTGGTTCAATTCAGTACGTATGAGTCAGTGTTTTTGTCTTTTGAACGAAAAAAGATCTGCGAATGTGAATCGATGCAAGGGTCTTCCATCGAAGATTCTCTTTTTGAACACAGAGAGACCGATAAAAACGTCTAGAAGAATCAATTCGTTGAGAACTGAGAGTATTTGACGAAAACCATTTAAAGGCACTGTTAAC